ATTTATTCATAAGTAAATTGATTGACCTATTACCTTTAGCAAAAAATGACATTTCTATCAGTAAATGGTTGCATTTATTCATAAGTAAATTGATTGACCTATTACCTTTAGCAAAAAATGACATTTCTATCAGTAAATGGTTGCATTTATTCATAAGTAAATTGATTGACCTATTACCTTTAGCAAAAAATGACATTTCTATCAGTAAATTGGTTGCATTTATTCATAAGTAAATTGATTGACCTATTCTTTAGCAAAAAATGACATTTCTATCAGTAAATGGTTGCATTTATTCATAAGTAAATTGATTGACCTATTACCTTTAGCAAAAAATGACATTTCTATCAGTAAATGGTTGCATTTATTCATAAGTAAATTGATTGACCTATTACCTTTAGCAAAAAATGACATTTCTATCAGTAAATGGTTGCATTTATTCATAAGTAAATTGATTGACCTATTACCTTTAGCAAAAAATGACATTTCTATCAGTAAATGGTTGCATTTATTCATAAGTAAATTGATTGACCTATTACCTTTAGCAAAAAATGACATTTCTATCAGTAAATGGTTGCATTTATTCATAAGTAAATTGATTGACCTATTACCTTTAGCAAAAAATGACATTTCTATCAGTAAATGGTTGCATTTATTCATAAGTAAATTGATTGACCTATTACCTTTAGCAAAAAATGACATTTCTATCAGTAAATGGTTGCATTTATTCATAAGTAAATTGATTGACCTATTACCTTTAGCAAAAAATGACATTTCTATCAGTAAATGGTTGCATTTATTCATAAGTAAATTGATTGACCTATTACCTTTAGCAAAAAATGACATTTCTATCAGTAAATGGTTGCATTTATTCATAAGTAAATTGATTGACCTATTACCTTTAGCAAAAAATGACATTTCTATCAGTAAATGGTTGCATTTATTCATAAGTAAATTGATTGACCTATTACCTTTAGCAAAAAATGACATTTCTATCAGTAAATGGTTGCATTTATTCATAAGTAAATTGATTGACCTATTACCTTTAGCAAAAAATGACATTTCTATCAGTAAATGGTTGCATTTATTCATAAGTAAATTGATTGACCTATTACCTTTAGCAAAAAATGACATTTCTATCAGTAAATGGTTGCATTTATTCATAAGTAAATTGATTGACCTATTACCTTTAGCAAAAAATGACATTTCTATCAGTAAATGGTTGCATTTATTCATAAGTAAATTGATTGACCTATTACCTTTAGCAAAAAATGACATTTCTATCAGTAAATGGTTGCATTTATTCATAAGTAAATTGATTGACCTATTACCTTTAGCAAAAAATGACATTTCTATCAGTAAATGGTTGCATTTATTCATAAGTAAATTGATTGACCTATTACCTTTAGCAAAAAATGACATTTCTATCAGTAAATGGTTGCATTTATTCATAAGTAAATTGATTGACCTATTACCTTTAGCAAAAAATGACATTTCTATCAGTAAATGGTTGCATTTATTCATAAGTAAATTGATTGACCTATTACCTTTAGCAAAAAATGACATTTCTATCAGTAAATGGTTGCATTTATTCATAAGTAAATTGATTGACCTATTACCTTTAGCAAAAAATGACATTTCTATCAGTAAATGGTTGCATTTATTCATAAGTAAATTGATTGACCTATTACCTTTAGCAAAAAATGACATTTCTATCAGTAAATGGTTGCATTTATTCATAAGTAAATTGATTGACCTATTACCTTTAGCAAAAAATGACATTTCTATCAGTAAATGGTTGCATTTATTCATAAGTAAATTGATTGACCTATTACCTTTAGCAAAAAATGACATTTCTATCAGTAAATGGTTGCATTTATTCATAAGTAAATTGATTGACCTATTACCTTTAGCAAAAAATGACATTTCTATCAGTAAATGGTTGCATTTATTCATAAGTAAATTGATTGACCTATTACCTTTAGCAAAAAATGACATTTCTATCAGTAAATGGTTGCATTTATTCATAAGTAAATTGATTGACCTATTACCTTTAGCAAAAAATGACATTTCTATCAGTAAATGGTTGCATTTATTCATAAGTAAATTGATTGACCTATTACCTTTAGCAAAAAATGACATTTCTATCAGTAAATGGTTGCATTTATTCATAAGTAAATTGATTGACCTATTACCTTTAGCAAAAAATGACATTTCTATCAGTAAATGGTTGCATTTATTCATAAGTAAATTGATTGACCTATTACCTTTAGCAAAAAATGACATTTCTATCAGTAAATGGTTGCATTTATTCATAAGTAAATTGATTGACCTATTACCTTTAGCAAAAAATGACATTTCTATCAGTAAATGGTTGCATTTATTCATAAGTAAATTGATTGACCTATTACCTTTAGCAAAAAATGACATTTCTATCAGTAAATGGTTGCATTTATTCATAAGTAAATTGATTGACCTATTACCTTTAGCAAAAAATGACATTTCTATCAGTAAATGGTTGCATTTATTCATAAGTAAATTGATTGACCTATTACCTTTAGCAAAAAATGACATTTCTATCAGTAAATGGTTGCATTTATTCATAAGTAAATTGATTGACCTATTACCTTTAGCAAAAAATGACATTTCTATCAGTAAATGGTTGCATTTATTCATAAGTAAATTGATTGACCTATTACCTTTAGCAAAAAATGACATTTCTATCAGTAAATGGTTGCATTTATTCATAAGTAAATTGATTGACCTATTACCTTTAGCAAAAAATGACATTTCTATCAGTAAATGGTTGCATTTATTCATAAGTAAATTGATTGACCTATTACCTTTAGCAAAAAATGACATTTCTATCAGTAAATGGTTGCATTTATTCATAAGTAAATTGATTGACCTATTACCTTTAGCAAAAAATGACATTTCTATCAGTAAATGGTTGCATTTATTCATAAGTAAATTGATTGACCTATTACCTTTAGCAAAAAATGACATTTCTATCAGTAAATGGTTGCATTTATTCATAAGTAAATTGATTGACCTATTACCTTTAGCAAAAAATGACATTTCTATCAGTAAATGGTTGCATTTATTCATAAGTAAATTGATTGACCTATTACCTTTAGCAAAAAATGACATTTCTATCAGTAAATGGTTGCATTTATTCATAAGTAAATTGATTGACCTATTACCTTTAGCAAAAAATGACATTTCTATCAGTAAATGGTTGCATTTATTCATAAGTAAATTGATTGACCTATTACCTTTAGCAAAAAATGACATTTCTATCAGTAAATGGTTGCATTTATTCATAAGTAAATTGATTGACCTATTACCTTTAGCAAAAAATGACATTTCTATCAGTAAATGGTTGCATTTATTCATAAGTAAATTGATTGACCTATTACCTTTAGCAAAAAATGACATTTCTATCAGTAAATGGTTGCATTTATTCATAAGTAAATTGATTGACCTATTACCTTTAGCAAAAAATGACATTTCTATCAGTAAATGGTTGCATTTATTCATAAGTAAATTGATTGACCTATTACCTTTAGCAAAAAATGACATTTCTATCAGTAAATGGTTGCATTTATTCATAAGTAAATTGATTGACCTATTACCTTTAGCAAAAAATGACATTTCTATCAGTAAATGGTTGCATTTATTCATAAGTAAATTGATTGACCTATTACCTTTAGCAAAAAATGACATTTCTATCAGTAAATGGTTGCATTTATTCATAAGTAAATTGATTGACCTATTACCTTTAGCAAAAAATGACATTTCTATCAGTAAATGGTTGCATTTATTCATAAGTAAATTGATTGACCTATTACCTTTAGCAAAATATGACATTTCTATCAGTAAATGGTTGCATTTATTCATAAGTAAATTGATTGACCTATTACCTTTAGCAAAAAATGACATTTCTATCAGTAAATGGTTGCATTTATTCATAAGTAAATTGATTGACCTATTACCTTTAGCAAAAAATGACATTTCTATCAGTAAATGGTTGCATTTATTCATAAGTAAATTGATTGACCTATTACCTTTAGCAAAAAATGACATTTCTATCAGTAAATGGTTGCATTTATTCATAAGTAAATTGATTGACCTATTACCTTTAGCAAAAAATGACATTTCTATCAGTAAATGGTTGCATTTATTCATAAGTAAATTGATTGACCTATTACCTTTAGCAAAAAATGACATTTCTATCAGTAAATGGTTGCATTTATTCATAAGTAAATTGATTGACCTATTACCTTTAGCAAAAAATGACATTTCTATCAGTAAATGGTTGCATTTATTCATAAGTAAATTGATTGACCTATTACCTTTAGCAAAAAATGACATTTCTATCAGTAAATGGTTGCATTTATTCATAAGTAAATTGATTGACCTATTACCTTTAGCAAAAAATGACATTTCTATCAGTAAATGGTTGCATTTATTCATAAGTAAATTGATTGACCTATTACCTTTAGCAAAAAATGACATTTCTATCAGTAAATGGTTGCATTTATTCATAAGTAAATTGATTGACCTATTACCTTTAGCAAAAAATGACATTTCTATCAGTAAATGGTTGCATTTATTCATAAGTAAATTGATTGACCTATTACCTTTAGCAAAAAATGACATTTCTATCAGTAAATGGTTGCATTTATTCATAAGTAAATTGATTGACCTATTACCTTTAGCAAAAAATGACATTTCTATCAGTAAATGGTTGCATTTATTCATAAGTAAATTGATTGACCTATTACCTTTAGCAAAAAATGACATTTCTATCAGTAAATGGTTGCATTTATTCATAAGTAAATTGATTGACCTATTACCTTTAGCAAAAAATGACATTTCTATCAGTAAATGGTTGCATTTATTCATAAGTAAATTGATTGACCTATTACCTTTAGCAAAAAATGACATTTCTATCAGTAAATGGTTGCATTTATTCATAAGTAAATTGATTGACCTATTACCTTTAGCACAGACTGGTTTGGGTAAACAACCTTGACCTACACAGGTCACAGCGACCCGACATTCTTGCCCGTCAGCACACACCTAGGGGAGACAAACACGTTTTTCTCAGGCGACAAGAAAACAAGTTCAAAAACACTCAAGAAACGTAACTCAGAGGAACATTAAATAGCTCTTGTTATGTCCCTTTATGAGCTCAAATCATGTTCTATTCGTCAAACCAGTGAATGATAATATAAATTTACGAACAGAATCACTTTCAACCTACGAACAAAAAGTAACAACTCGCAACTTACACAACTTATACATAGCTACAGCCAACTTAGAACTTTTACACAACTACAGCAACTTACAACTTATACACAACTACAGCCAACTTACAACTTATACAATTACAGCCAACTTACAACTTATACACAACTACAGCAAACTTACAACTTATACACACCTACAGCAAACTTACAACTTATACACAACTACAGCCAACTTACAACTTATACAACTACAATCAACTTACAACTTATACGCAATTACAGCCAACTTACAACTTATACAATTACAGCCAACTTACAACTTATACGCAATTACAGCCAACTTACAACTTATACAATTACAGCCAACTTACAACTTATACAATTACAGCCAACGTCCAACTTATACACAACTACAACAAACTTACAACTTATATACAACTACAACCAACTTACAACTTATACAATTACAGCCAACTTACAACTTATACAATTACAGCCAACTTACAACTTATACACAACTACAACCAACTTACAACTTATACAATAACACCCCAACTTACAACTTATACAATTACAGCCAACTTACAACTTATACAATTAAAGCCAACTTACAACTTTTACACAACTACAGCCAACTTACAACTTATACACAACTACAGCCAACTTACAACTTATACAACTACAACCAACTTACAAGTTACACAACTACAACCAACTTACCACTTATACACAATTACAGACAACTTACAATTTAAACACAGCTATTGCCAACTTACAACTTAAACACAACTATTGCCAATTTACAATTTATACACAGCTATCGCCAACTTACAACTTATACACATCTATTGCCAACTTACAACTTATACACAACTACAACTAACTTATAACGTATACAACTACAGCCAACTTACACCTTATACAACTACAACCAACTTACAACTTATACAACTACAGCCAACTTACACCTTATACAACTACAGCCAACTTACAACTTATACACAACTACAACCAACTTACAACTTATACACAACAACAGACAACTTACAACGTATACTAGAGCCAACTTACAACTTTGCTACATTGAGTTCGGACATCTCGAGACTTGTGTGAGTTGATCACGTGACCATTGACCTGTTGTCAGAGACAGGTTAAACAAGTTATGACAGTCATACAAACGTTATGACAGTCATACAAGTCATGACAGTCATACAAACGTTATTACAGTCATACAAGTCATGACAGTCATACAAGCGTTATGACAGTCATACAAGCGTCATGACAGTCATACAAACGTTATGACAGTCATACAATCGTTATGACAGTCATACAAGTCATGACAGTCATACAAGCGTTATGACAGTCATACAAGTCATGACAGTCATACAAGTCATGACAGTCATACAAATGTCATGACAGTCATACAAACGTTATGACAGTCATACAAACGTTATGACAGTCATACAAATGTCATGACAGTCATACAAACGTTATGACAGTCATACAAACGTTATGACAGTCATACAAAAGTCATGACAGTAATACAAACGTTATGACAGTCGTACAAACGTTATGGCAGTCATACAAGTCTTGACAGTAATACACACGTTATGACAGTCATACAAACGTTATGACAGTCATACAAACGTTATGACAGTCATATAAAAGTTATGATAGTCATACAAAAATCATTACAGTCATACAAAAGTCATTAAAGTTATACACAAGTCATGACAGTCCTTCAAAAGTTGTGACGCTCATACAACAGTCATGACAGTCATACAGCAGTTATGCCAATCCAACAAAAGTTATGGCAGTCATACATACCATGAGACTCGTGCAATTAATCACAAATCCTGACGTTTACAAGTTTATAAAAGTCTAACATAAAAGTCTAACATAAAAGTCTAACATAAAAGTCTAACATAAAAGTCTAAAAAAAAATATTACATAAAAGTCTAACATAAAAGTCTGACGTATAAAATCATAAAATATGTAATATGTCAAAACTTACCTAAGAGATATATAGACCAACTCATGTTGACAACTTACCATAGACATAGAGACAAGTAGAAAGAAAAACATAGTAGTAGATCACATCCATTCACATGAAACGAAATGTGTTTTTCTGGCTCTGTTGAATAAACCAGCCATATTTCACAGGATGACAGAGACGGCTAATCTACCCTGGCTTTATGGCTGTTAATTATGTTAATTGGTGGCCTAAGATAAAGGCGTGTTGCACACGTCACTGTTTGATTGCTATATTTTTACAGAAAGTCGACATGTTTTCAGTTATTACACTTTTAATTTCAAGAGAAGATTTTAACTTAAACAACAGATACTTATTAGGTACAAAAAAATTAATCAGTTTTAGTGAAATAGAGTCATGATTTGTTTTGTTTAAAAATTATGCAATGATGCTTAATTTTTAAAGGGCAAGCTATAAGTCGCATGACACTCTTTAAAGGCTCGTCAAATGGTTGTTAAAGGTGCGCCAAATGGTTCGTTAAAGGTGCGCCAAATGGTTGTTAAAGGTGCGCCAAATGGTTGTTAAAGGTGCGCCAAATAGTTGTTAAAGGTGCGCCAAATGGTTGTTAAAGGTGCGCCAAATAGTTGTTAAAGGTGCGCCAAATGGTTGTTAAAGGTGCGCCAAATAGTTGTTAAAGGTGTGCCAAATGGTTGTTAAAGGTGCGCCAAATGGTTGTTAGAGGTGCGCCAAATGGTTGTTAAAGGTGCGCCAAATGGTTGTTAGAGGTGTGCCTAATGGTTGTTAAAGGTGCACCAAATGGATGTTAAAGGTGCGCTTCAAAAGTCTATGTAATCGTACTAAAAATAAATTCTTTAAATCTTTTTTAAAAAAATGGCAAGCGATAAAATTGTATGTACATTTTTTTAAATTAAAGCCGTTTAACTATCGATTACACTCATTTTCATAATTGTGAATTGAATAGAAGCCGTTGAAAAGCCGTTTAGAACTATTTTATCGATTCAAATATTTTTTAAAACCGCTCTCAACCCTTCCTTGAAGTTAATTTTACGCAGTTGACTTTTTTCTCCGGAGGGGGGGGGGGGGGGGAGGGGGGCACTTGAAACTTTCGGGGGGGGGGGGGGGGGGAATCGGTAGATTTTCTTCGGGGAAGGAGGGGCGGATAATGTTAAATGTATGTATTTTCTATATAAATTCCATTTCGTTCGTTAAATATACCAATAAAAAGTAACATCTTACAACTTATACATAGCTACAGCCAACTTACAACACCCCCCTCCCCCCCCCCCCCCCCAGAAGAGATGCCTGGAAGAAACTCTGATTATACGTATCCATCCAATATTTTACCAAGTGTGCCAATTATGGCATTTCTTCTCTAATAGTCTCACACTGATTATCATGACGTATAGATCAACTCTTAGATTTGTATAAAACCATGTCTTTGATCTTTTGATTTTAGTTTTATTGTCTCACAGATTGTACAATACCAATATCATTTTTATAAAGATTATATCAAACATTTACCATTATATCACATATATAACAGTTATATCAAACACTCCAACAATATATCACAAATATAACAGTTATATCAAACACTCCACCAATATATCACATGTACACCAGTTATATCAAACACTCCACCAATATATCACATGTACACCAGTTATATCAAACACTCCACCAATATATCATATGAATATAAAAAACATAAAACAACTCGTCATAATAATACAATTAAAGACAATAATTAAAATACAACTAAGTAGCTTATAACTGCGATATCCAAATATTTTTTTTAAATTTACATTTGTGTAATCAATATTATTATTAACAAGAATAACCTTAACTACGATACACTGACAAGTTTACATCATATACACATATCTAACACGATACTTGTCCAAGGATATGCTTTTCCTCCATGTTAACTGCTGTCTCCCTTATATTTAAACAACATACTCCCTAGTATGTTTTGACTACAAAGGCGTTTATGATCTAGTTATTTATCATATAACTTTGACCTTTTGTGAATTAGAATCTCATTCAGATAAATCAATAATTAATTATGTTGATTCTAATTTAACTGATCAATAAATAATAGCGTTAATTCTAATTAGTCATCCATAATTAACTATAGATCCTGATTTGACTGCTACTAATCAGCCTGATCAATAAATGACAGCATCTTGTATGGTTGTAGATCGTGGCGGCCTTGTATTATCTCTCTGCTTGGGAAACAGGAGGCAGTCATCCTCCCATGGTGTTGTCTCTTCTGTACTCCCATAATTGGTGGGATGTGTCGTCTTCAGTACACTCACATCTGGGCACCTGTTGAAGGTCAAGGTCATTCTAGAGATTTCTGTCGGCATGTGGGGTGGGGACATAGGGACGGGAGATTTCTGTCGGCATGTGGGGTGGGGAGTGGGGACATAGAGACGGGAGATTTCTATCGGCATGTGGGGTGGGGACATAGGGACGGGAGATTTCTGTCGGCATGTGGGGTGGGGAGTGGGGACATAGAGACGGCAGATTTCTGTCGGCATGTGGGGTGGGGACATAGGGACGGCAGATTTCTGTCGACATGTGGGGTGGGGACATAGGGACGGGAGATTTCTGTCGGCATGTGGGGTGGGGACATAGGGACGGGAGATTTCTGTCGACATGTGGGGTGGGGACATAGAGACGGGAGATTTCTGTCGGCATGTGGGGTGGGGACATAGGGACGGGAGATTTCTGTCGGCATGTGTGCCTGATTAGTTAAACACAAATCTAACATACTAGGTAAACACTGCACCAACTTACCTGGCTAGGTACTCTACTAACCTACCTGGCGAAGTTAAGAGCCTCGGCTATGGTGTCTGGCAGCGCTCGTCTGTTGGTCTCAGGTAAAGCCAGGTCCAAGATGAATGCCAGAAATGTCGCCCCACACACCGTCACAAACGGTAGAGCGCCCCCTAGGTTTGTTGTCTGTAGGGACATGGACAGGCAGGGATTTATACCAGGTTAATGTATGCTAGGAATATGTGGTCTCGCCATATTCTTGTATTGTAGTTGGCCTTAATTTATGTTATATGAGTAAATGTATGACGTCAATAAGGATTGCATAGGACGGCGTGATCGAAAGTCAGAACGTAAAACTACTAGCCCATATATCTTGAGATCGATTCGGGCTTGAGTCAATGGAATGACTTAAGGTTACAGATTTATGATAGTACCTAACTTAGCAGGTGACTTATCCACAGGGATACGAACTCAAGACTTCCTGGCTAGTGGCTGTTTGCCGTACTATCAGACCACGCCGTACCATTGTGTGCTAATAAAGTTTGTAACTGCATTGCTTTAATGCTGTCTGTTTATGTGTGTATATGCCTGTGTATATGTTTATGAGTGTATATGCCTGTGTATGTGTGTATATGTGTATATGCCTGTGTATGTGTGTATATGTGTATATGCCTGTGTATGTGTGTATATGTGTATATGCCTGTGTATGTCTGCACGTGGTGACAGGGTTGGGGCAGGACTCACCATCCCCACCACGTAAGGTGCGACAATGGCCCCGGCACGAGCGCAGGACGAGCCTATCCCGAGGCCGGTGCTCCTGACCGAGGTGGGCCAGAGTTCTGTCATCCACAGGAAGCTGGTGCCCATCAGACCGGCAGCGCCAAACTTGCCCACCATTGCCAGGACTGTCACTGTCAGCTCTGGAACAAACACGTCAAGCCGTGGTCCTAACGTGGTCCTAACATGGTCCTAACATGGTCCTAACATGGTCCTAACATGGTCCTAACTTGGTCCTAACATGGAATTCTTTAGCCATATCTTAATGTAAACACCAGTTCACGTGTTTATATTTAGTGATACATACGCTTTATTACTATTGAATAACGAGACTTAGAATAATATGGTTAAAACACTGGAAATGAATAAGGCGACAGAGAATTTTAAAAACACACAAAACACACAGGCCGCACCTGATTTAACCTTGACTGACACAAAACACAGGTCACACCTGATTTGACCTTGACTGACACAAAACACACAAGCCACACCTGATTTGACCTTGACCGACACGCCTACAGCAGCACCTGAGGTCAGTGCTGCCAGCATGAGGTAGCCCAGGTGCACGGGTTTCCTGCCCACCTTGTCGACCAGCAGCAAGCTGACCAGGTGGGCGGGGACCTCCACGCATGCGCCGATGATGAAGGTGATGAAGACGTTACCTGCCCGTAGGTGTGCGGAGTTCAAGACAAACACGTAGAAGACGAAGTTGACCACCAGCCTGTTGATACACGACATGAATCTAGTTAGTTTGTTAATCAATTTATGACATCATTCCCTACCTCTCTCACCAGCATAACAAAATAATGACAATCCCTCCCCCCCCCCCCTCATGACAAATCAATGCCCCCCACAACCCTCGTAAAAAGTAAGTGACCACCCCCCACCCCCAAAAAACAATGACCGCCTCCATGACAAAACATGACCCCACTCACCAACAAGAAAAAACAATGACCCCCCCACACCATGACCTGACCTACACACCATGACCTGACCAACACAGCATGACCTAACACCATGACCTGACCTACACACCATGACCTGACCTACACACCATGACCTGACCAACACAGCATGACCTAACACCATGACCTGACCTACACACCATGACCTGACCTACACACCATAACCTGACCTACTCACCATGTTCTAACCTACACACCATGACCTAACCTACTCACCATGACCTGACCTACATACCATGACCTAACCTACACACCATGACCTGATCTACACACCATGACCTGACCTACACACCATGACCTGACCTACACACCATGACCTGACCTACACACCATGACCTGACCTACACACCATGACCTGACCTACAAACCATGACCTGACCTACACACCATGACCTGATCTACACACCATGACCTGACCTACACACCATGACCTGACCTACACACCATGACCTGACCTACACACCATGACCTGACCTACACACCATGACCTGACCTACAAACCATGACCTGACCTACACACCATGACCTAACCTACACACCATGACCTGACCTACACACCATGACCTAACCTACACACCATGACCTGACCTACACACCATTACCTAACCTACACACCATGACCTGACCTACACACCATGACCTACTCACCAGTTGAAGCATATGATAAAGGATCTCAGACACAACACTCGAGACTTGAACAGATCCAGAAACGTGTCGTGTGACGTCACACGCTGGGTGTGACCTTCACCTTCTGTTTCATAACTCTAAGCAGAAATAAAGCAAAAATGTTTATTTAACACGCGACACAACACAGTATAGCTATAACATAACACAAGTATAACTATAACACAAGCCAGTATAGCTATAACACAACACAGTATAGCTATAACACAACCAAGTATAGCTATAACACAAGGCAGTATAGCTATAACACAAGGCAGTATAGCTATAACACAAGCCAGTATAGCTATAACACAACACAGTATAGCTATAACACAAGCCAATATAGCTATAACCATAGCCAATAGAGCTATAACACAACACAGTTTAGCTATAACACTAGCCAGAATAGCTATAACACAAGCCAATATAGCTATGCCACAAGTCAGTATATCTATAACACAAGCCAGTATAGCTATAGCACAACCAAGTATAACAACCCACTATCCCATGTTGTTACAACATCAAAGTTTACTTCCCATCCCAAAGCAAACATGGGCGTGGCCTAGAAGAAACCACGTGACAGATATACCTGTAGAAGGTCGGACGTTGAACTCTCATAATCCACATCGAGATGCACGCCATTTGTAGCCGCTATACGCGCTAAAACTTTGGAAACTTGGTCGTATTTTTTCATGGTGATCAGCCATCTTAAAGATTCTGGCACTAACCTGTGTTGTAGGGGGGGGGGGCATATTAAACAAAGAACTTTGTTGAAGGAGGCTATCTAAAATAAAGAACTATGTTGTAGAGTAGCATGTTAAGTAAAGACTCGAGGCCTATGATTGATTAATAAGATTCTTTGATGCCATGGTACCATTCTACATCAGCATCAACAACAACTACAAAATACAAACCACTTGTTTTATTTTAAAAGTTGATACGTTTGTTAGTGATATGGAATTGCACAATTTTTTTTTTCTTTTTTTTTTTTTTTTTTGCGACCCAAAAAGAAAGTTAACAAAAATACACACGACGTAGAATGTGTTTAAAACGAAAACAAAGAAAGTTTATAAAACTAAACCGTAACAGACCAGTAATAAAGGAGGAACACGGCAGCAGGGGCGGTAATGACGACATTCACCCATCGCCAGTCTCTCAGCCCGTAGAAGGCGGCGGCCATGATGACCTCACCAGACGTAAAGAACACCTGGATGGTCAGACCTGGAATCTTCCTGTGTTTGCTGGTCACAAGTTCTAGAGCTGGTTACAGAAGGGGGGGTGTGAGGATTTTTGTATGTTCATTTTAACATAATCAAGTCTACAGCGCTAATGTAAAATCATTGAATACACTCCGACAATCATACACTCAATACAGGCGTAAACTATAACAATCACAACAACGATCCACACTGAGTGAAGATCTATACTACAATGGTACAACAAATTAGGTTACTTAAAATAGTTGAAACTGTTTTTATAAGGTTAAGGAGTGGTTAAAAGAATAACAAATTGCACAAACATTAAACGCTTGCTATTTAGGAATTATTCTATTTATTGTAAACATACAAAAAAGTGTACCAAAGGTAGGCTGTAAAAAGGGAGTCTTAACCAAGACTGTACTACACATAATCAAAATCTGCACCAATCATACACCAAAACTCTACCGAAAATACAGAAAATTGTACCACACATACACCAGACTGTACCTAACACGTGTTCTCACCTACCACCAAGACTGTACCACACATACATCAGACCAAGAATGTACCACACATACATCAGACCAAGAATGTACCACATATACACCACTCCAAGAATGTACCACACATACATCAGACCAAGACTGTACCACACATACACCACACCAAGAATGTACCACACATACATCACACCAAGAATGTACCACACATACACCACACCAAGAATGTACCACACATACAACACATCAAGAATGTACCACATATCAACTTCACCAAGACTGTACCACACATACACCACACTAAGACTGTACCACACATACACCACACCAAGAAATTACCACACATACACCACACCAAGAATGTACCACACATACACCACACCAAGAATGTACCCCACATACACCACATCAAGAATGTACCACATATCAACTTCACAAAGACTGTACTACACATACACCACACCAAGAATGTACCCACATACACCACATCAAGAATGTACCACATATCAACTTCACAAAGACTGTACCACACATACACCACACCAAGAATGTACCACACATACACCACATCAAGAATGTACCACATATCAACTTCACAAAGACTGTACCACACATACACCACACCAAGAATGTACCACACATACACCACACCAAGAATGTACCACACATACATCACAATGAGAATGTACCACAATACAACAATACTGTATTACACATACACCAAGACTGTTCCACAAAAACATCACATATACACCACACCAGAATGTACTCACACATACACACCAAGACTCTACTCACACACACCAGACTGTACTCACACACACACCAGACTGTACTCACACACACACCAGACTGTACACACACACACCAGACTGTACTCACACACACACCAGACTGTACTCACACACACACACCAGACTGTACTCACACACACCAGACTGTACTCACACACACACCAGACTGTACTCACACACACACACCAGACTGTACTCACACACACACACCAGACTGTACTCACACACACACACCAGACTGTACTCACACACACACCAGACTGTACTCACACACACACACACCAGACTGTACTCACACACACACCAGACTGTACTCACACACACACCAGACTGTACGCACACACACACCAGACTGTACTCACACACACCAGACTGTACTCACATACACCAGACTGTACTCACACACACACCAGACTGTACTCACACACACACCAAGACTGTACTCACACACACACACCAGACTGTACTCACACACACACCAGACTGTACTCACACACACACACACCAGACTGTACTCACACACACACCAGACTGTACTCACACACACACCAGACTGTACTCACACACACACCAGACTGTACTCACACACACACACCAAACTGTACTCACACACACACACCAGACTGTACTCACACACACACCAAACTGTACTCACACACACCAGACTGTACTCACACACACACACCAGACTGTACTCACACACACACACACCAGACTGTACTCACACACACACACCAGACTGTACTCACACACACACCAGACTGTACTCACACACACACACCAAGACTGTACTCACACACACACACCAGACTGTACTCACACACACACCAGACTGTACTCACACACACACACACCAGACTGTACTCACACACACACACCAGACTGTACTCACACACACACACACACCAGACTGTACTCACACACACACACCAGACTGTACTCACACACACACACACCAGACTGTACTCACACACACACACACCAGACTGTACTCACACACACACACCATACTGTACTCACACACACCAGACTGTACTCACACACACACCAGACTGTACTCACACACACACCAGACTGTACTCACACACTCACCAGACTGTACTCACACACACCAGACTGTACTCACACACACACCAGACTGTACTCACACACACACACACAAGACTGTACTCACACACACACCAGACTGTACTCACGCACACACACACACCAGACTGTACTCACACACACACCAGACTGTACTCACACACACACACCAGACTGTACTCACACACACCAGACTGTACTCACACACACACCAGACTGTACTCACACACACCAGACTGTACTCACACACACACCAGACTGTACTCACACACACACCAGACTGTACTCACACACACACCAGACTGTACTCACACACACACCAGACTGTACTCACACACACACACCAGACTGTACTCACACACACCAGACTGTACTCACACACACACCAGACTGTACTCACATACACACCAGACTGTACTCACACACACCAGACTGTACTCACACACACACACCAGACTGTACTCACACACACACACAAGACTGTACTCACACACACACCAGACTGTACTCACACACACACCAGACTGTACTCACACACACACACAAGACTGTACTCACACACACACCAGACTGTACTATAACACACACCAAACTGTACTCACACACACACACACAAGACTGTACTCACACACACACACCAGACTGTACTCACACACACACACCAGACTGTACTCACACACACACCAGAATGTACTCACACACACACACCAGACTGTACTCACACACACACACCAGACTGTACTCACACACACCAGACTGTACTCACACACACACACACCAGACTGTACTCACACACACACCAGACTGTACTCACACACACACACACCAGACTGTACTCACACACACACCAGACTGTACTCACACACACACCAGACTGTACTCACACACACACCAGACTGTACTCACACACACACACCAAACTGTACTCACACACACACACCAGACTGTACTCACACACACACCAAACTGTACTCACACACACACCAGACTGTACTCACACACACACACCAGACTGTACTCACACACACACACACCAGACTGTACTCACACACACACACCAGACTGTACTCACACACACACCAGACTGTACTCACACACACACACCAAGACTGTACTCACACACACACACCAGACTGTACTCACACACACACCAGACTGTACTCACACACACACACACCAGACTGTACTCACACACACACACCAGACTGTACTCACACACACACACACACCAGACTGTACTCACACACACACACCAGACTGTACTCACACACACACACACCAGACTGTACTCACACACACACACACCAGACTGTACTCACACACACACACCATACTGTACTCACACACACCAGACTGTACTCACACACACACCAGACTGTACTCACACACACACCAGACTGTACTCACACACTCACCAGACTGTACTCACACACACCAGACTGTACTCACACACACACCAGACTGTACTCACACACACACACACAAGACTGTACTCACACACACACCAGACTGTACTCACGCACACACACACACCAGACTGTACTCACACACACACCAGACTGTACTCACACACACACACCAGACTGTACTCACACACACCAGACTGTACTCACACACACACCAGACTGTACTCACACACACCAGACTGTACTCACACACACACCAGACTGTACTCACACACACACCAGACTGTACTCACACACACACCAGACTGTACTCTCACACACACCAGACTGTACTCACACACACACCAGACTGTACTCACACACACACCAGACTGTACTCACACACACACCAGACTGTACTCACACACACACCAGACTGTACTCACACACACCAGACTGTACTCACACACACACCAGACTGTACTCACACACACACCAGACTGTACTCACACACACACACCAGACTGTACTCACACACACCAGACTGTACTCACACACACACACACACCAGACTGTACTCACACACACACACCAGACTGTACTCACACACACACCAGACTGTACTCACACACACACCAGACTGTACTCACACACACACACACAAGACTGTACTCACACACACACCAGACTGTACTCACACACACACCAGACTGTACTCACACACACACCAGACTGTACTCACACACACACACAAGACTGTACTCACACACACACCAGACTGTACTCACACACACACCAAACTGTACTCACACACACACACAAGACTGTACTCACACACACACACCAGACTGTACTCACACACACACCAGACTGTACTCACACACACACACCAGACTGTACTCACACACACACCAGACTGTACTCACACACACACCAGACTGTACTCACACACACACCAGACTGTACTCACACACACACACCAGACTGTACTCACACACACACCAGACTGTACTCACACACACACCAGACTGTACTCACACACACCAGACTGTACTCACACACACACCAGACTGTACTCACACACACACCAAGACTGTACTCACACACACACACACACACCAGACTGTACTCACACACACACACACCAGACTGTACTCATACACACACCAGACTGTACTCACACACACACCAAGACTGTACTCACACACACACACCAGACTGTACTCACACACACACACCAGACTGTACTCTCACACACACACACACACCAGACTGTACTCACACACACACACCAGACTGTACTCACACACACACACCAGACTGTACTCACACACACACACCAGACTGTACTCACACACACACACCAGACTGTACTCACACACACACCAGACTGTACTCACACACACACACCAGACTGTACTCACACACACACCAGACTGTAATCACACACACACCAGACTGTTCTCACACACACACCAGACTGTACTCACACACTCACCAGACTGTACTCACACACACCAGACTGTACTCACACACACACCAGACTGTACTCACACACACACCAGACTGTACTCACACACACACACCAGACTGTACTCACACACACACACCAGACTGTACTCACACACACACACTAGACTGTACTCACACACACACCAGACTGTACTCACACACACACACCAGACTGTACTCACACACACACCAGACTATACTCACACACACACACCAGACTGTACTCACACACACACCAGACTGTACTCACACACACACACACCAGACTGTACTCACACACACACCAGACTGTACTCACACACACACACACACCAGACTGTACTCACACAAACACCAGACTCTGTACTCACACACACACCAGACTGTACTTACACACACCAGACTGTACTCACACACACACACACCAGACTGTACTCACACACACCAGACTGTACTCACACACACACCAGACTGTACTCACACACACACCAGACTGTACTCACACACACACACATCAGACTGTACTCACACACACACCAGACTGTACTCACACACACACCAGACTGTACTCACACACACACACACCAGACTGTACTCACACACACCAGACTGTACTCACACACACACCAGACTGTACTCACACACACACCAGACTGTACTCACACACACACACCAGACTGTACTCACACACACCAGACTGTACTCACACACACACACCAGACTGTACTCACACACACACCAGACTGTACTCACACACACACCAGACTGTACTCACACACACACACACACAAGACTGTACTCACACACACACACCAGACTGTACTCACACACACACCAGACTGTACTCACACACACACACAAGACCGTACTCACACACACACCAGACTGTACTCACACACACACCAAACTGTACTCACACACACACACAAGACTGTACTCACACACACACACCAGACTGTACTCACACACACACACACCAGACTGTACTCACACACACACACCAGACTGTACTCACACACACACCAGACTGTACTCACACACACCAGACTGTACTCACACACACACCAGACTGTACTCACACACACACCAGACTGTACTCACACACACCAGACTGTACTCACACACACACCAGACTGTACTCACACACACCAGACTGTACTCACACACACACACACCAGATTGTACTCACACACACACCAGACTGTACTCACACACACACACACCAGACTGTACTCACACACACACCAGACTGTACTCACACACACACCGGACTGTACTCACACACACACCAGACTGTACTCACACACACACACCAAGACTGTACTCACACACACACCAGACTGTACTCACACACACACCAGACTGTACTCACACACACACCAGACTGTACTCACACACACACCAGACTGTACTCACACACACACCAGACTGTACTCACACACACACACACCAGACTGTACTCACACACACACCAGACTGTACTCACACACACACCAGACTGTACTCACACACACACCAGACTGTACTCACACACACCAGACTGTACTCACACACACACCAGACTGTACTCACACATACACCAAGACTGTACTCACACACACACACACCAGACTGTACTCACACACACACCAGACTGTACTCACACACACACACACCAGACTGTACTCACACACACTCCAGACTGTACTCACACACACACCGGACTGTACTCACACACACACCAGACTGTACTCACACACACACACCAAGACTGTACTCACACACACACCAGACTGTACTCACACACACACACCAAGACTGTACTCACACACACACACCAGACTGTACTCACACACACACCAGACTGTACTCACACACACACCAGACTGTACTCACACACACACACACCAGACTGTACTCACACACACACACCAGACTGTACTCACACACACACCAAGACTGTACTCACACACACACACCAGACTGTACTCACACACACACCAGACTGTACTCACACACACACACACCAGACTGTACTCACACACACACCAGACTGTACTCACACACACACCAGACTGTACTCACACACACACCAGACTGTACTCACACACACACCAGACTGTACTCACACACACACACTAGACTGTACTCACACACACACACCAGACTGTACTCACACACACACACCAGACTGTACTCACACACACACCAGACTGTACTCACACACACACACCAGACTGTACTCACACACACACACCAGACTATACTCACACACACACACACCAGACTGTACTCACACACACACCAGACTGTACTCACACACACACACACCAGACTGTACTCACACACACACCAGACTGTACTCACACACACACACACACCAGACTGTACTCACACACACACCAGACTGTACACACACACTTCAGACTGTACTCACACACCAGACTGTACTCACACACACCAGACTGTACTCTCACACACACCAGACTGTACTCACACACACCAGACTGCACTCACACACACCAGACTGTACTCACACACACACACCAGACTGTACTCACACACACCAGACTGTACTCACACACACACCAGACTGTACTCACACACACACCAGACTGTACTCACACACACACACACACCAGACTGTACTCACACGCACCAGACTGTACTCTCACACACACCAGACTGTACTCACACACACACCAGACTGTACTCACACACACACCAGACTGTACTCACACACACACCAGACTGTACTCACACACACACACACCAGACTGTACTCACACACACCAGACTGTACTCTCACACACACCAGACTGTACTCATACACACACCAGACTGTACTCACACACACACCAGACTGTACTCACACACACACACACCAGACTGTACTCACACACACACCAGACTGTACTCACACACACACACCAGACTTTACTCACACACACACCAGACTGTACTCACACACACTTCAGACTGTACTCACACACACACACCAGACTGTACTCACACACACCAGACTGTACTCTCACACACACCAGACTGTACTCACACACACCAGACTGTACTCACACACACCAGACTGTACTCACACACACACACCAGACTGTACTCACACACACCAGACTGTACTCACACACACACCAGACTGTACTCACACACACCCAGACTGTACTCACACACACACACCAGACTGTACTCACACACACACACCAGACTGTACTCACACACACACCAGACTGTACTCTCACACACACCAGACTGTACTCACACACACACCAGACTGTACTCACACACACACCAGACTGTACTCACACACACACACCAGACTGTACTCACACACACCAGACTGTACTCACACACACACACACCAGACTGTACTCACACACACACCAGACTGTACTCACACACACACACCAGACTGTACTCACACACACACACCAGACTGTACTCACACACACCAAACTGTACTCACACACACACACACCAGACTGTACTCACACACACCAGACTGTACTCACACACACACACAAGACTGTACTCACACACACACCAGACTGTACTCACACACACACCAGACTGTACTCACACACACCAGACTGTACTCACACACACCAGACTGTACTCACACACACACCAGACTGTACTCACACACACCAGACTGTACTCACACACACACCAGACTGTTCTCACACACACACACCAGACTGTACTCACACACACCAGACTGTACTCACACACACACACCAGACTGTACTCACACACACACCAGACTGTACTCACACACACACCAGACTGTACTCACACACACACACCAGACTGTACTCACACATAACAAAGGCCGAAGCGAACATGCCAGTTGACGCCCCACCAACCAGGAACTGAAGAATCCCCAGGACATAGAAGACGTTTGACCAGGGCAGTGCCAGACCTGAGGCTAGCAAGATGAGTACAGAGAGGAGAAAACACAACTTCCGGCCAAATCTGCTGAGTCGACAATTTAATGGGTACATATGGCTGGCTCATGGTGGAGGGGGGGGGGTGACGGGGGAGGATGGGGTAATCGGCGAAGTACGCCGTTGACACTACGCAAAAAAAAACGTTGACACTCTGTATTAGGATGTTTTCAGTAATCAAAAGAATCCATGGTAGCTTTACAATGATAGAAACATTTGGTAAAGTGCGAATCAGACTATGTACAACTTTTATTCAGAAAATAAATCAAATAACAAAATTATTAACCTAAACAGCTGTTTCTAAATACATTTAAAAAAATTCTTGATTGTTCCAATCACTTGACTATATGTACACGTAGAATTATCATTTAGGTGCACATAACATTCAGGTAACAGAGGTTATATGAGGTAAATACGAAGGTAACCTGCAGGTAGTGCATCAAACTTACCTGTCTTGACACCTGCAGGTAGTGCATCAAACGTACCTGTCTTGACACCTGCAGGTAGTGCATCAAACGTACCTGTCTTGACACCTGCAGGCAGTGCATCAAACGTACCTGTCTTGACACCTGCAGGCAGTGCATCAAACGTACCTGTCTGAGACCTACAGGTAGTGCATCAAACGTACCTGTCTTGACACCTGCAGGCAGTGCATCAAACGTACCTGTCTTGACACATACAGGTAGTGCATCAAACGTACCTGTCTTGACACATACAGGTAGTGCATCAAACGTACCTGTCTTGATACCTACAGGTAATGCATCAAACGTACCTGTCTGAGACTAGGCCCAATAACGTGCTGCCCACCAGCGAGCCCACATAGATCAACATGGAGCCATGTGATCTGTATATCCGTCTGTCACACACTAGGTCCAGCTGGGGACAGAACATTTAGACTTAGGACAAACCTGTTACCTGGGACCTTATGGACATTTACATGAAAGTTAGCTAACTCCAGGGTTTAGTTAACTGAGATTAATATTCACTGAAAAAGAAAGTATAGCAACTTGCCAGAAAGTGTTCCTGAGCGTAAAATGCTGAGAGTAAAGTTACAGTAGAGTTGCCTCAGACTTACCTGAGTCAGCGCGTTCATGCGTATCAGCGACTTGTCGTAGACCCATCCGTTGGTGCAGGGCTGAATGTAATGCGAGCCGTTGATTGGTCGGTTGTACTCATCGTACTCAAAACTCTTGTTCAGACTGGCAACAAGAATAATTGATTCAAGTGACAGAAAGGTCATGTCAACAAGAATAATTGGTTCAAGTGACAGAAAGGTCATGTCAACAAGAATAATTGGTTCAAGTGACAGAAAGGTCATGTCAACAAGAATAATTGATTCAAGTGACAGAAAGGTCAGATTATGTCAACAAGAATAATTGGTTCAAGTGACAGAAAGGTCAGATTATGTCAACAAGAATAATTGGTTCAAGTGACAGAAAGGTCATGTCAACAAGAATAATTGGATCAAGTTACAGGAAGGTCAGATTATGTCAACAAGAATAATTGGATCAAGTTACAGAAAGGTCAGATTATGTCAACAACAATAATTGGTTCAAGTGACAGAAAGGTCATGTCAACAAGAATAATTGGATCAAGTTACAGAAAGGTCAGATTATGTCAACAAGAATAATTGGATCAAGTTACAGAAAGGTCAGATTATGTCAACAACAATAATTGGTTCAAGTGACAGAAAGGTCATGTCAACAAGAATAATTGGATCAAGTTACAGAAAGGTCAGATTATGTCAACAAGAATAATTGGATCAAGTTACAGAAAGGTCAGATTATGTCAACAACAATAATTGGATCAAGTTACAGAAAGGTCAGATTATGTCAACAAGAATAATTGGATCAAGTTACAGAAAGGTCAGATTATGTCAACAACAATAATTGGTTCAAGTGACAGAAAGGTCATGTCAACAAGAATAATTGGATCAAGTTACAGAAAGGTCAGATTATGTCAACAAGAATAATTGGATCAAGTTACAGAAAGGTCAGATTATGTCAACAAGAATAATTGGATCAAGTTACAGAAAGGTCAGATTATGTCAACAACAATAATTGGATCAAGTTACAGAAAGGTCAGATTATGTCAACAACAATAATTGGATCAAGTTACAGAAAGGTCAGATTATGTCAACAACAATAATTGGTTCAAGTGACAGAAAGGTCATGTCAACAAGAATAATTGGATCAAGTTACAGAAAGGTCAGATTATGTCAACAAGAATAATTGGATCAAGTTACAGAAAGGTCAGATTATGTCAACAAGAATAATTGGATCAAGTTACAGAAAGGTCAGATTATGTCAACAAGAATAATTGGTTCAAGTTACAGAAAGGTCAGATTATGTCAACAAGAATAATTGGTTCGACAGAAAGGTCATGTCAACAAGAATAATTGGATCAAGTTACAGAAAGGTCTGATTATGTCAACAAGAATAATTGGTTCAAGTTACAGAAAGGTCAGATTATGTCAACAAGAATAATTGGTTCGACAGAAAGGTCATGTCAACAAGAATAATTGGATCAAGTTACAGAAAGGTCAGATTATGTCAACAAGAATAATTGGTTCGACAGAAAGGTCAGATTATGTCAACAAGAATAATTGGTTCAAGTTACAGAAAGGTCAGATTATGTCAACAAGAATAATTGGTTCGACAGAAAGGTCAGATTATGTCAACAAGAATAATTGGTTCAAGTTACAGAAAGGTCATGTCAACAAGAATAATTGGTTCGACAGAAAGGAGCAATGACAACTCATTTAAATATACACAGGAAAGCCTCTAATGAGCGAAAGGGAGGGGGGGGTGGTTCTGCTTGGCTTATGGAGAGTGGAACAAGTTTGGTGCTGTATGAACAGAAGGTAACTACGGCGTTCTCTGTCCATGTTTATTAGAATACATGTACTGTATGATACATTCTATGTTTTTATTGAAGTAGTTGTGGCAAGTCCTTAACTAGGACTTTATCTGTAACAATGGCATTACCTGTAAACATTACCCGTGAATTTGACATTACCTGTAAATATGACATAACCTGTAAACATGACATAACCTGTAAACATAACATTACCTGTAAACATGACATTACCTGTAAACACGACATTACCTGTAAACATGACGTTACCTGTAAACATAACATTACCTGTAAACATGACATTACCTGTAAACATGACATTACCTGTAAACATGACATTACCTGTAAACATGACATTACCTGTAAACATGACATTACCTGTAAACATGACATTACCTGTAAACATGACATTACCTGTAAACATGACATTACCTGTAAACATGACACTGGTCGTCTGCTGGGATGGATCTGTTGACGGCTATCTGATGGTCCGTGGCTCTCACGTCAAACGTGTCGTTCACCCACCCCGGCAGAGCACATCTGTAGCATGAGACAATACATTACAGATACTTTCTTACTTTGTACTATCACGATTTAATACATTAACTGTGTTATCACAGGCTACTTATTTGATCTACAACCCACATGTGTTATCGACAACCTACCCGTGTTATCGACAACCTACCTGTGTTATCGACAACCTACATGTGTTATCGACAACCTACCTGTGTTATCGACAACCTACCCGTGTTATCGACAACCTACCCGTGTTATCGACAACCTACCTGTGTTATCGACAACCTACATGTGTTATCGACAACCTACCTGTGTTATCGACAACCTACCTGTGTTATCGACAACCTACCTGTGTTACCGACAACCTACCTGTGTTACCGACAACCTACCTGTGTTACCCTCAACCTACCCGTGTTATCGACAACCTACCTATGTTATCGACAACCTACCTGTGTTACCGACAACCTACCTGTGTTACCGACAACCTACCTGTGTTATCGCAGCCTACCTATTTGATCTACAACCTACCTGTGTTATCGACAACCTACTTGTGTTATCGACAACCTACCTGTGTTATCGACAACCTGTGTTACCGACAACCTACCTGTGTTATCGACAACCTACCTGTGTTATCTATAACCTACCTGTGTTACCGACAACCTACCTGTGTTATCGACAACCTACCTGTGTTACCGACAACCTACCCGTGTTATCGACAACCTACCTGTGTTACCGACAACCTACCCGTGTTACCGACAACCTACCTGAGTTACCGACAACCTGTGTTACCGACAACCTACCTGTGTTACCGACAACCTACCTGTGTTACCGACAACCTACCTGTGTTACCGACAACCTACATGTGTTACCGACAACCTACCTGTGTTACCGACAACCTGTGTTACCGACAACCTACCTGTGTTACCGACAACCTACATGTGTTACCGACAACCTACATGTGTTACCGACAACCTACCTGTGTTACAGACAACCTACCTGTGTTACCGACAACCTGTGTTATCGACAACCTACCTGTGTTACCGACAACCTGTGTTACCGACAACCTACCTGTGTTACCGACAACCTACCTGTGTTATCTACAACCTACCTGTGTTATCTACAACCTACCTGTGTTACCGACAACCTACCTGTTACCGACAACCTACCTGTGTTACCGACAACCTACCTGTGTTATCGACAACCTACCTGTGTTACCGACGACCTACCTGTGTTACCGACAACCTACCTGTGATACCGACAACCTACCTGTGTTATCGACAACCTACCTGTGTTACCGACAACCTACCTGTGTTACCGACAACCTACCTGTGTTACCGACAACCTACATGTGTTACCGACAACCTACCTGTGTTACCGACAACCTACCTGTGTTATCGACAACCTACCTGTGTTATCGACAACCTACCTGTGTTTCCGACAACCTACCTGTGTTATCGACAACCTACCTGTGTTATCGACAACCTACCTGTGTTTCCGACAACCTACCTGTGTTATAGACAACCTACCTGTGTTATCGACAACCTACCTGTACCTAGTCTCCAGCATGAAGAAAGCACCTGACGTCATGCGAGCCCCGTGTACCATGGCAGCGGGGAAGAGCAGAAGAAACATGAGCAGCTGGAACCTGCCCAACATCCCCACCTGCTCCAGGGCATCGTCCAGCTCCAGGTTCCTGATCCTGGTCATGTCAGTCGCTCGGTTCACTTGGTAGGGGAACAACTGAAGGTTGCTTGACTTTAATTGTAACAGTCACTCGGTTCACTTGGTAGGGGAACAACTGAAGGTTGTTTGACTTTAATTGTAACTGTTGCTTAGCTTTTCGATAGAAATAAGTAAAAAATAAGAAAAAAAAAGAATATATATATATATATATATATATATATATATATATATATATTTAAAAGCATAATCGATTTAAAAAAAATAATTAACTACAACTAACACACACTATCCCTATCCATAGCATCAACCTATATACAAAAGAAACACACTTTTGAAAAAGTTCAAGATACATGTATTCGTATTCTCAAACCGCTAATGGACCTTCACCTACAAAGGTATCCCACCTAAATATAATGTTGATTCATAGCTTCATCCAAGCATACAGAGTTTCTTCCAGGTATCTCTTCGGTGGGGGGGGGGGGCAGAGAAAGTCTACCGCCCCCCCCCCCCCGAACGAAATGAAATTTATATAGATAATATATACTTTTTACTGTGTCCGCCCCCCCCCGAAGAAAGTCTACCCCCCCCCCCCCCCGAAAACTTCAAGTGCCCACCCCCCCCCCCCCCCGGAGAAAAAAAGTCTGAAAGAAACACTACAAGCATAAATCTTAATTAAAACTGAAATGTATCATGAATAAATTGCCTTTAAAGATAATGTGTGGACTCAGAGGCGTAGCGAGGGGGTAGCGGGGGGTGCGGACCGCACCGGTGACACCATTTAGGGGGGGGGGGGGGGTGACACCAAGGCTTTGAGGAGGGGGGGTGCAAATCGAAAGTTTGAGGGGGGGAGTGCAAATCGAAAGTTTGAGGGGGGTGCAAATCGAAAGTTTGAGGGGGTACAAATCGAAAATTGAAATTTTGTCCCCGAGAAGGGTCGCTACGCCTCTGGGGGGTGACACCATTAAGTGCCGCACCGGGTGACACCCGACCTCGCTACGCCACTGTGTGGACTTAATCTTAAACTACCTAAAATAAAAATAAAAAATAAATTTGAATTTAAAAAAACATTGCAAATAAATCTAAAAATACAAGGGATCATGTACAACTATTACACACTTTCGATTCGCAACTAAATACATAATATAATAGTTTTTTTTTTTTAAATAGCTATTTCTTTTCAGTGCTATTGAAAATCGGTTAGTCTAAATAAAAATAAAATTTTTGTTTGAACATGTTTTATTCTCACACTTTGCATGAATAGCGGGAGAAATTGGAAGTTAAAATTCTTAACATATTTACTTCCCTTTAAAAAAGAGCGGCCAAACGAGTCTTTTTTTCAACCCTTAAAATATTTCTGAACATTTCTAAAAATCGAGCGTATTTCTAGAAGCTTACATCATAGCTATCATCTTACTGTTATCAACCGTGTACCGTATCCGCTAATGGTCTATCGAATTCGGTGACTTATAAAACATAAAGTTTATATAAGGCAACTGCTCAGATTTTGGTTATTGAGATGGTTGTAGTGTGTCTGTTGGTTTGAGAGTAAAGTTCGGGCTGATGCAAAAATGCTATCAAACAATAGCCTGTATATATATATATATATATATATATATATATATATATATATATATATATATATATATATATATATATATTTATTTATTTATTTATTTATATATATATATATATATATATATATATATATATTTATATATATGTGCGTGTGTGTGTGTATGTGTGTGTATGTATGTATGTGTGTGAGTAACAAAAAATTCTTTAGATCTACTTATAAACAAAATTAAACCAATCCATTACCAGAGCTTGTGTATGCTGCGAAAACAAATTTGAGGTATGGTTGGGTTGGGTATGGGAGGGGGGGGGGTGCAGAGAACCTACCACGTGACACCCACTGATCAGCTACAGGCTGACGTGACATCATTGTCCCATCCCTCTAAACACACACACAAGTGAACGCGGGTTTTCCTAGGGAATTGAACCGGATGTAATTACCCGACTTTGGTCTGTTAAACCCGGAGCTAATTAACCCGGCCACTTAAGTCACGCCTTCGTATCGCCGGCATGTTTTAATTGCTCGGCCCAGTTCTTTAATTAGTGATAGTTTAAAATGTATGTCGGATTATACAAAAAATATTATTATTATACAGTGTTAGCTAAAATTCAGTTAAAATGTTGTTTGCCCACGGTCAAGAAACCTACAATGTTTAACCATTTGAAGGAATCGGTTTAAAGAAAATCATGGCTAAAACTGTTTTAAATCAACGTAAACTATATATATATATATATATATATATATATATATATATATATATATATATATATATATATATAAAATTATTTACCATATTATTGTGTACGTATACAAGTATGGTATTTAAAAGATTACATTTCGCAACAATTTTTTTTAAATTTTATAATATCAACGCACCTGTAAGAAAATCAAGTTCAATAAAATGTGAACAAGTGTCCTCACCTGTGCACCTAAGATAATCAACCACACAAAACTCCAGTCAGTTTTGTCACGTGGTTCGTTGTACAAATAATTACTCCCTAAGTGAAACCTTAAGGGAAAGAAAGTCGGCTGGGCATAGTGCTGACCACACTATCCCTTCATATGCCGAGGTCAATGAATCTGATGAACTCTACTTCATCTGCCCCATGTGTCTAGGGCACGAACGGGGAAGAACGGGAAAGAAGAAATGAAGCCATACATCAGGTAACGAAAAAAAGAACAAATATACAACGCTTACCTCCCTGTAACCTTTGATGTTGTCTGATGGCTAGACTAAACCGTGAGCCTCATAGAAACTTGCAGTTATTTTAATCTCCGGGAAACCCCGTTGTAAAATTTTTCAGGGATTCCCAGCACCCAATTTGTCACGTGGTCTAGTGAAAGGCTGACAACACAGCTGAGACATTGACATGTTATCACACTAAGGTGGCGCATTATCTCCTCACAGCGGTGGTGATATGTGAATAGATGTTTACATATAAACTTGCCTGGGGTGGGGTGGGGGAGGGGTGGTAAGGTCGGCTTGACTTCCCACAATGAAAAATGAAAAATCCGTTCGCGTCGCTTTATGTGCTTAATTTTATATATATATATATATATATATATATATATATATATATATATATATATATATATATATATATAATGTATGTATGTGAATTTGCGTGCGTGTTGTTCGTGTGTAAAAAAAGTGATACGGCACCACTCCCACCCCTCAGCCATGAAACCCCTTGGCAACATCAATGAATACAAAAGCCGATGATTACATGTACACGTACAGTTACAGAATGGATCTAAACACTAAAGTCTGTACATAGTAGATGTAATTTAAACTTCTTTGTTCTATCAATATAACTACCATAATATCGAGGGTTTTTTTTTTACCACTCAAATTTAGATTTACCCAAAGAAATTTTTTTTTTAATAATAAAAAGCTTTAGCCTTTCATGAAGTCGAACACATTATAATGACTAGTGTTTCTACATATATATCAAAATAGAACTTCCTTTTTTAGTTCATTTATAGCTAGTTATTGTAAAGATTTTTTTGTTTTACCTAAAATTTCAAATTTATTTCGTTCTGTATATTGTTAAATTTACTTCAACTTTAAAGTGCGTATAACGTCATGAATTTTGTCATAACCTCTAAACACATTTTCCCCGGAAGTATCCCTACACTTCCTGATATTTGATTTCCTTTTGAAAAGACTCCAAGTTCCGCAGAAGATCCGTCAGCTTTGAAGATGAGATGAGATCCCCTACAGACTTGGTGAGCCCCCTACATGACACTGGCAAGGATTCTGTCTTGGGCGCCAGTTGTTGGAATCATTATCCTCGCCTGCTGGGTCTACTACGTCTACGTGATCGTCCTCTGTCTGCTCACTATCGAGTACCTGAGTGAGAAGCTCGCCTACCTGTTTTTCTTTCACCCCATCTTCTTCATGGCTCTCTGGAGCTTCTACAGGAGTGTCACGACCAAACCCCTCCAGCCCCCACTTCAGTACGCGCTGGACGAGGCTGAATGGACCCGCCTCACCCACAATTACAACTGGAAACATGAGACGAAGGAGGTCATTGAACTCCGAATTAAGCTTGGCTTAAAGACAACCCCAGTAGATTCAGGTTACGGCAAGTAACAGGCATTTTATTTTTAGATCTAGTGTGGTTTTAACATGGCCTTGTTATTGGTCAAACAATTTTTCTCGCGTCATACAAACGACGACAGGTCGTTTATAAGCAAATTTTTGTATGTGCTAATATTTTCAACAATATCTGTGTCCCAACCCAGCCTCTAATGTTGATATTATTCCTTATCATGATCCCATAACTGTTACTAAACCTACACCTAATGGTAAACCTACACCTAATAGTAAACCTACACCTAATAGTAAACCTACACCTTATACTAAACCTACACCTAATAGTAAACCTACACCTAATAGTAAACCTACACCTAATATTAAACTTACACTTGTTACGAAGCTTAACATTAAACCTACATCTAACATTCACCACCTCTCATAAACCTATACCTAACCGTGAAACCTACACTTTTCATTATACCTACACCTTACATTAAGCCTAACCTTAAATTAAACATAATCTACTCAAGGACTGCATATTATTATATCTACTTCTGTAAGGCTACACACTCTGCTCAAGGCTAAATTGTTTTCTATGGTTAATAAACTCGTCCAACGTTTTGATCCACGAGCAGATGAAGTAGAGTTCACCAGTTTAGTGTCCTTAATGACAGAACAGTGTCAGGACGTCCTGCGAGATCCAAACTCTAGGCTTTAGGAGTCGTACGCTCTACTATCACACCACACCGTCCACGGTTAGTGTAACATACAATAATCCGACTATCGTTATTATATGCTACACTGGTATCCGATAGTAACTTTACTATCGTATATGCACGTGTTAATTAATTGACCCCTATGTCCCCAGTCCCCAATGCACGTGTTAACAAATTGACCCCTATGTCTCTAGTGCACGTGTTAACAAATAGACCACTATGTCCACAGGCCTACCCTCCTACTGCTCTAGTGCACGTGTTAACAAATAGACCCCTATGTCCACAGGCCTACCCTCCTACTGCTCTAGTGCACGTGTTAACAAATAGACCACTATGTCCACAGGCCTATCCTCCTACTGCACGCGTTAAAAAATTGACCACTGTGTCCCAAATGCTCCTGTTAACAAATTGACCACTACGTCCCCAGTCCCCAGTGCACGTGTTAACAAATTGACCCCTATGTCCAGTGGCGTAGCCAGGATCGTCTCAAGGTGGGGTTCCAATTTTTACCCGGGGACAAACTTTCGATTTGCACCCCCCCCTCAAACTTTCGATTTGCACCCCCCGTCAAACTTTCGATTTGCACCCCCCCCCTCAAACTTTCGATTTGCACACCCCCCTCATACTTTTTCTATATACCGATGGGTCTATCGGGGGGGGGGGGGGTTATGACCCCCCCTAACCCCCCCCCCTGCCTACGCCACTGCCTATGTCCATTGTGCACGTGTTAACAAACTGACCCCTATGTCCCCAGGCCTACCCTCCTACTGCCACACGTGCAAGAACCTGAAGCCAGACCGCTGCCACCACTGCTCCAGATGCCGGACCTGCGTGCTGAAGATGGACCACCACTGCCCTTGGATCAACAACTGCGTCGGTTACCATAACTACAAGTACTTCCTCCTCTTCCTAGCCTACGTCATGACACACATTCTCTTCGTCTGCCTGACGTCATTCCGTTTTATCGTGGACACGTGCATCATGCTGCACGAGAAAGGTCTGGAGGCCGCACGTGACATCAACCGTCTGCAGGTCTTCGCCATGTTCTTCTTCTACGCGGCGGTGGGCCTGACCCTGAGTCCGCTCATCAAGCTCCACCGTGACCTGCTCTACACCAACGTCACCACCCTGGAGAGCAGCCGGCCCGTGGGGCTGGTGGGGACTGTCCCCAACTACGAGACCTTTGACCTCGGCTGGAAAGAGAACTTGAATCAGGTGTTTGGGGACAGGAAGTGGCTCAAGTTGCTACCCATCTTCTCCAGTAAAGGGGACGGCCTGAGCTTCCCCATCTTTATGTGCACAGAAGTCACAGACAAGGAGTCGGTCAACAAACAGAGCAATCCCGTGTGAAGGTCAATTCACAAGGTCAATCCTAGAATACTTGGATCACGAAATTTTTCTTGTTTCTTATTGCCATAAACCATGATCATAAACATGCTGTTAAAATTGTTTATTTATTGTCTGCTAAGGGGAGGTAATAATAAAAAAAACTTCTTAGAATCGTTATTTTTTAAATTACCTCCCCTTAATTTGATGTTATTTGTTAAAAGTTAAAAAAACAAAATAACAAGCTCTTAAAATGTACGTATAAAGCACAAAGAAAATAAAGATACATTTTCTAAAGCTTTAAGGTTAAAGCGCTGTTTGAGCAAAAAATGTCAATAAAAATATTAGCAGTCGCTGCTGTCACTTAAAATAAGTTTGTTTATTTTCTCACAACTGGTGCATTTAAAAGGTTGTTATATTAAAGGTTTCAATGCTTTGTACATTTTTTTGTCTTTATAGGATTGTTTAATATTACAACCGAAGTTGGTTATTAACTTCTAGAAACAATAACCACCATATGTATTTGCTCCATCACTGGCCATGTTAACACCCACCTATCTCCTTACAAATAACATCTACTATAAATCCAATGATTAACGGCTAGCATATTAAATAGCAAGTTGCTAATATTCCCTTCTAAATGAAACTTCCCACTAATTATCTCCTAACGACGGTCTCAACTCTCTAATCAGGTCAAATGGTTACAAATAATAAGTTATCTCCCTGGAATTATTTAATCGTCTAGTCCAGGGGTCGGCAACCTGCGGCTCGCGAGCCGCATGCGGCTCTTTTGATGTCAAGATGCGGCTCTCCAGTTCCTTAATAATTATATTATTTTATTTTCAAAACTCAAAAAAAATATGGTACTGTAAAAACAGAAACAACTTTAAACAAAAAAAGAAACCCACTGAGAGTAGGTGGAGTAGAGCGTATAAGGACAGCTGACCCACAGCAGGCCCAGCCCCACAACTGTGCTGTGGCCAGCCCCACAACTGTGTTGTGGCCAGCCCCACAACTGTGCTGTGGCCAGCCCCACAACTGTGTTGTGGCCAGCCCCACAACTGTGCTGTGGCCAGCCCCACAACTGTGTTGTGGCCAGCCCCACAACTGTGCTGTGGCCAGCCCCACAACTGTGTTGTGGCCAGCCCCACAACTGTGCTGTGGCCAGCCCCACAACTGTGTTGTGGCCAGCCCCACAACTGTGCTGTGGCCAGCCCCACAACTGTGTTGTGGCCAGCCCCACAACTGTGCTGTGGCCAGCCCCACAACTGTGTTGTGGCCAGCCCCACAACTGTGTTGTGGCCAGCCCCACAACTGTGCTGTGGCCAGCCAAACAACTGTGCTGTGGCCAGCCCCACAACTGTGTTGTGGCCAGCCCCACAACTGTGTTGTGGCCAGCCCCACAACTGTGCTGTGGCCAGCCCCACAACTGTGTTGTGGCCAGCCCCACAACTGTGTTGTGGCCAGCCCCACAACTGTGCTGTGGCCAGCCCCACAACTGTGTTGTGGCCAGCCCCACAACTGTGCTGTGGCCAGCCCCACAACTGTGCTGTGGCCAGCCCCACAACTGTGCTGTGGCCAGCCCCACAACTGTGCTGTGGCCAGCCCCACAACTGTGTTGTGGCCAGCCCCACAACTGTGCTGTGGCCAGCCCCACAACTGTGCTGTGGCCAGCCCCACAACTGTGTTGTGGCCAGCCCCACAACTGTGCTGTGGCCAGCCAAACAACTGTGCTGTGGCCAGCCCCACAACTGTGCTGTGGCCAGCCCCACAACTGTGTTGTGGCCAGCCAAACAACTGTGCTGTGGCCAGTTCCGTTGTGGCCAGCCCCACAACTGTGCTGTGGCCAGCCCCACAACTGTGATATGGTCAGCCCCGGGGCTATGGCTCCATGCTTTAAACTACCGAAGTGCACATAAAAATGTTTGTGGCTCTTTAAAATGTGTGAAATTTTGTAAATTGTAACTTTTGGCTCTTCCGTCTGAAAAGGTTGCCGACCCTGGTCTAGTCTAGTCTTTAAACTAAATTGTATCGACTATAACTTTCTGGTAAACATTCACAGTTTGACATCTGAGTGGCACTAGAAATCGCTGCTGTAGATATGAACGTTTATAATAACAAGCTTTAACTTATACACTAAAGTTATTTTTTTTTTAAAGTTTCACTACTTAGGTAGCTATAAAGAATGTAGGTGTAATTTGTAATTTATATTAAATACCCTTACCAAAATCTTATCAACAGCCAACGCTTTTCTTTATAGTACATATACAATTATTTTATAGTTAGTGCATTAATTAAAGCTTGTCATATTTCAAAAGATTAGTTTTATCTGTTTTAAAAAATTATATCACAAAAGTAAATACACTTGAGGACAGAATGTGTGATTGGACAGACGTGTGTAGGACAGTGTAGGACAGTGGAGGACAGTGGAGGACAGTGTAGGACAGTGTAGGACAGTGTAGAACAGTGTAGGACAGTGTAGGACAGTGTAGAACAGTGTAGGACAGTGTAGGGCAGTGCAGGACAGTGTAGGACAGTGTAGGACAGTGTAGGACAGTGTAGGACAATGTAGGACAGTGAAGGAAAGTGTGGGACAGTTAAGGACAGTGTAGGACAGTGCAGGACAGTGTAGGACAGTGCAGGACAGTGTAGGACAATGTAGGATAGTGTAGGACAGTGTAGGACAGTGTAGGACAGTGTAGGACTGCAGGATAGTGTAGGACAGTGTAGGACAGTGTAGGACAGTGTAGGATAGTGTAGGACAGTGTAGGTCAGTGTAGGACAGTGTAGGATAGTGTAGGACAGTGTAGGATAGTGTAGGATAGTGCAGGACAGTGTAGGATAGTGTAGGACAGTGTAGGACAGTGCAGGACAGTGTAGGACAGTGTAGGGCAGTGTAGGACAGTGTAGGATAGTGTAGGATAGTGCAGGACAGTGTAGGATAGTGTAGGACAGTGTAGGATAGTGTAGGACAGTGTAGGATAGTGTAGGATAGTGCAGGACAGTGTAGGATAGTGCATGACAGTGTAGGATAGTGTAGGACAGTGCAGGACAGTGTAGGACAGTGTAGGGCAGTGTAGGACAGTGTAGGCCAGTGTAGGACAGTGTAGGGCAGTGTAGGATAGTGTAGGATAGTGCAGGACAGTGTAGGATAGTGTAGGACAGTGTAGGATAGTGTAGGACAGTGTAGGATAGTGTAGGATAGTGCAGGACAGTGTAGGATAGTGCAGGACAGTGTAGGATAGTGTAGGATAGTGCAGGACAGTGTAGGATAGTGTAGGACAGTGTAGGACAGTGCAGGACAGTGTAGGACAGTGTAGGACAGTGTAGGACAGTGTAGGATAGTGTAGGACAATATAGGATAGTGCAGGACAGTGTAGGGCAGTGTAGGACAGTGTAGGATAGTGCAGGACAGTGTAGGGCAGTGTAGGATAGTGTAGGACAGTGTAAGACAGTGTAGGACAGTGTAGGACAGTGTAGGATAGTGTAGGACAGTGTAGGACAGTGTAGAACAGTGTAGGACAGTGTAGGACAGTGTAGGACAGTGTAGGACAGTGTAGGACAGTGTAGGGCAGTGTAGGGCAGTGTAGGGCAGTGTAGGACAGTGTAGGACAGTGTAGGACAGTGTAGGACAGTGCAGGACAGTGCAGGACAGTGCAGGACAGTGTAGGACAGTGCAGGACAGTGTAGGACAGTGTAGGACAGTGTAGGACAGTGTAGGACAGTGCAGGACAGTGCAGGACAGTGTAAGACAGTGTAGGACAGTGTAGGACAGTGCAGGACAGTGTAGGACAGTGTAGGACAGTGCAGGATACACATGTGTGAGCTGAATTCAATCTATGAATCGGTTCCCTGTACTTAACACACAAACAGACACGTGCAACATTTTCCGTTTTATTACAATCCAATCATTTGTCTTCCTTATAAAGAACACAGAGCCAAGAACGGTAACCACATTTAAATCATGAACATTCTGAGCTCAAGCCTAGAATGAGTTACAGTTCCTGATGGTTCTGAATGCATTTTTCCGCTAAGTTATGTTGTTGCTTTAGCACAACTACCAGCAAACTCCATTAGCAGACAACACGCGGCACACACGGCCTTCATTGTACTTATAATGCATGGATGTGAAAACAATGAACATGTTTTTTCATGTGGTGGAAGTGTAATTTGTTTTCTATTTATTAGTTTATAATTAGCTCATTAATTATAACTCTCATTAGATAACGATATTTGATTTGGTATACAATGAACCTTTAGTGTAGTTTTATACTGTGGTCATTAAGGAAAAAACCTACGTCACTAACTACAGTCTCAACCTACCTACGTCACTCACTACAGTCTCACCCTACCTACGTCACTAACTACAGTCTCACCCTCCCTACGTCACTAACTACAGTCTCACCCTCCCTACGTCACAACCTACAGTCTCACCCTACCTACGTCACTGACTGCAGTCTCACCCTACCTACGTCACTGACTGCAGTCTCACCCTCCATACGTCACAACCTACAGTCTCACCCTACCTACGTCACTGACTGCAGTCTCACCCTCCCTACGTCACTAACAACAGTCTCACCCTACCTACGTCACTCACTACAGTCTCACCCCACCTACGTCACTAACTACAGTCTCACCCTACCTACGTCACTAACTACAGTCTCACCCTACCTACGTCACTCACCACAGTCTCACCTCACCTACGTCACTCACTACAGTCTCACACTACCTACGTCACTAACTACATTCTCACCCTACCTACGTCACTAACTACAGTCTCACCCTACCTACGTCACTCACTACAGTCTCACCCTACCTACGTCACTAACTACAGTCTCACCCTACCCACGTCACTCACTACAGTCTCACCCTACCTACGTCACTAACTACAGTCTCACCCTACCTACGTACTCTACCTACGTCACTCACTACAGTCTCACCCTACCTACGTACTCTACCTACGTCACTCACTACAGTCTCACACTACCTACGTCACTCACTACAGTCTCACCCTACCTACGTCACTAACTACAGTCTCACCCTACCTACGTACTCTACCTACGTCACTAACTACAGTCTCACCCTACCTACGTACTCTACCTACGTCACTAACTACAGTCTCACCCTACCTACGTACTCTACCTACGTCACTCACTACAGTCTCACACTACCTACGTCACTCACTACAGTCTCACACTACCTACGTCACTAACTGCAGTCTCACCCTACCTACGTCACTAAATACAGTCTCACCCTACCTAC